CGGTCCTGGGTTCGAACACCCTGTGATGGGTGCCTACTGACGATGATTTCCAAACTAGGATGAAACAGCTTTCCAGTACTCCCTGCTTGTTTTCAGTGGTTCTCTAACTAAAGGCCAATCCGTGTGATTTTGTACAACCCATGAAGCAGACGTGTAATGCCTTATTGTGAATATGCGATGATGTTTCTATTAGAACAAGACACATAAGAAAATAATATTTTTTTCAATTAGATCTTCAGGCTTCATTCTAATTTACATAGCTTTATATATAAAATATTCAACCAATGACGGCGAGTTTGTGTTAAATGTTTTGAACATCAGTAATAACGGTGATTATAATAAATTATAATTATATTTCAATGGTTTACACACAATAATAAGCAAAATTACTGCCAGAGATCACACCAACTGGTGGTATTGTTTTGTTTTTAATTTACACTCTTATGATTTGTACTCATTTGTATAGTTCTTTTTTTCAGGATTTCATTATGAATTGACATTGGTTAGAGGACCATTGGAAAACCTGGGAGTATAAGGTAGTGGTTTCGTCAGCCTAGTTTGGGTTTCATCATCAGTGGGATTTCACCCAGAACCACCTGGTTACAAGGCGAGCTAGCTCGTTGACCATTAAGCCATTAATTTTTGTGTACCCGAAAATGTATTCCAGGTTGTTGACAGTTGTTCTGCCTTATCTTTGTTACATGTATCCGGCGTGACCTTAATGAATATAGATTCTCTTATTAGTTCCTCTATTTGTTCAAATGAGATTTCAGAATAAAAACATTATTCCAGTCAATATTATGGTTTTTGTCCCGTGCATGTGAAGCTATAGACGAATGTTCTTCTAAATTGTTGTAAAATTGTGTTCCTGTGGGATGACATTTAGTTAGACGTTTATATTCATTCACTCTTATTTTGAGTGATCTGGATGTTTGACGTGCATATTTAGTCAGACACTCGGCAAAAGATATTTTGTAAATCACATTGTTTTTATCCATCATTTCTATGAAATCTTTCAGTTGATTTATCTTATTTTTAATTAGATTCTTTGGTCTAAACGTGATGCGAATCCTAATATATTTGAGGTTTCTTCGAATTGCCTCCGATGTATCATTTTTATATGATATTGTGATTGTATTTTTGCCTTCCTGGTTCTTGTCATTCTCCGGTTTTACCCTCATTTTTCTTTTTTTATATTATCTCTGATAAATTCTTTTGTCGAGTAACACTTAAAATAGGATGTTTGTTTCTTTTCTTTGGTTATTTGATGTTGTTGTAAGTCTACGTATTCTGTCCGCAAGACGTTGTCTCAACCCTCGTTTTACTATGAGTAGATGAACTGAGTGATAATCAAACAATCTCCCAGAATGTGTCGTTTTTCTAAATAGCGTCGTTTTTATAATAGTAAAAATAATAGTAATAAGGTTAGTGTTAATAAAAGTACATGGAGTTTATGCAGGTGGCGATAAGAATAATAAAAGTAGTAGGATATGTATATGTAGACAATTCAATAAATAAATCAGGTCAAACCTTAAAAAGTTACGTAATACTCAAGGTGAAGTGGACAGATAATCATAGTTTAAATGAATGTCATAATATTTACGAAAGAAATGGAAAATAAGAAAGGGCTGGAAATTATTAATTACAAATTACCTAGGCCAAAGGAGAGGAAAAGGTAGAGCAAACTTCTTTTATATGCAAGGACTAGGATTGCTGCCTCCAATACCCATAGCTTTGCCTGTGTGCAAAAGGTAGGTTCGAAAGGTTCGATTGAATGAAGGTACCTCTCCTGTCCTCTCAGTGACCTCTATTAATCAAATGAGACAAACAGGGCTTCTTACAGATTTTATTTGGCCTTTTTCGAATCATAAAGGAAGATGCTCATTAATGCGTTTGTTGAGCTGTCTAGCTGTTTTCAGGAAAAGGTAAATTTATGAATGCACAAAGAATTCACATAGCTAGGCAGCTTATCTTTCGCTTGAGCAGTCATAATTGTTCGGCTGGAAAATGACAAACAACGGGGGACGGCAGCGTAAGTCCATTTTGTGACTCTAGATAATCTTAGATGTAGCACCTCACTAACTGTATCCACAATGAATTGTAGTTGTGGGAGCAGTTGTTCTTTTTTTTAACTTTTGTCGGTTTCTCTTTACTACACACGGTATTCATGTATCTCCTTGCAAGTCTACTAGGATAACTCATTTGAACCAGTGTATTTTGAATGTATCCTAATTCATTTTCCAGAGAATTTCTGCTAGAAAAAATCATTTGGAAATAAAGTGAATGACCACTTTTAAATTAGAATTCATTCTAATTCAACATGATTAGGATTTTCTATAGTTGGTTTGTAAGGATTAGATTTGCTTTTACGAGTTTAATCACGGATTGGTATCAGTTAGAGAACCATTGAAAATCAGCCACACGGAGTACTGCCAGAGAACTGTCTCGTCAGTCTAGTTGGGGAATCATCGACAGTACGCACTCATCACCACCGTTCAGTGGGACATCCATCCTCACACTTGACTGGATGGACCTCACTGGTCACGACTTCTCACTAGAACTCCAGGAAAGTCCGTCCTGTATTAAGTCACTAGCGAGCATTAGATAATCCCCATACTAGGATGTAACAGCTGTCTGGCAGTACTCCTTGGTTTTCAACCGTTCTCTAACTGATATCAATCCATGATTAGGATTGTCAAGAGGTTAGGTAGCAGGGCAGACGACACAATATAAGCATACTGTATTTCGTAATTCATTCACATAAAAGCTAGTATTTAAACATGATGATTACAATGAAGTGATAACTTAGCTATTAGTTGGATTTTGTAGCTCGCCTGATGCCTCAGAGGAATTGAGAATTAGGAGACCTTTGGATAAAGAAAGGAGGACAAAATTTGCAGTATAAAATGATATCATTTTAATGCACAGGTTCTCATCAGCTAACTGCAAACTACCAAAAATTACAATGGTCATATAGATGATAATAACATACTTGTAATGTTTGAGTGGTAGTAGAGAAGGGATACTATAAAATTGACACATCCAAAATGAAGGCATTACAATTTTTAGTTTAAAATTCCATCTTTAATTTATACGCTTTTAAAGATGAAAAGAGGAGGGAGGGGTAAGACAGAAAAGAGAAAAAAAGATTAACAGAACAGTGTTAGCTTGTAGGTCCACATACCAACTCAAAAGACGAAAAACAAAAGCGGTTACACCTCATGAGATTAAGATTTGTTCAGTGAGTTGAGATCACTGAATTAGATGACTAATTAATGCAATTAAAATCAAAATTCAGTTACCAAGGTAGTGAGATATTAATCACACTCTTTTTCTGTATGCATAAGTCTGGTTGGTTTGAATCGTTCAATTACGATCGCTTCGGCTAATCGGAGTAAATTTGCTGTCCTTTGTCTTTTTAATATTTTGAAGGACTTAGAAATCTCTACGAGATATCCGGTATCAGAGTGCGATTACTCTACTACCACTCAAACATTAAAAGTATGTTATTATCATATATATATATATATATAAACATGATATATGTCTGATTTCCCACAAACTGGAAGATATGCAAGTGAAAAGCAACAAGCTGGCAGAACAAGCATCAAAGATAGGAAGGAGTTCAGGTGAACATAGAGAAAACAGAGGTGATGAAGATTCTTGGCCAACACCATCAGCAACAACAACAACAGACAACAGTCAGCCAGTATAAATGGGAGGAACTTGAAAGAAACAACCTCCTTCACCTACCTACCTACCTGAGGAGCATCGTTTCAACTACAGACGGACGGAACTGACGAGGATATCAAAGCCAGAGTCGGAAAAGCAAGATAGGCTTCCATTACCCTTAAGTCTGTGTGGAGGTCAACAGAACTCAGCATCAAAAATAAGATCCGGATTTTCAACTCCAATATGAATTCAGTGCTACTCACCATATGGATCAGAGACTTGGCGCGTCATGAAGAGCATCTCAAACAAACTTCAGACCTTCATAAACAGCTGTTTTCGCTCAGTACTCAAGATCAGATGGCAAGCCAGAAAAGATCAGCAACAGGGATCTCTGGCAATGAGCGAACCAACCAGGAACCGATTTTGCAACAAATAAGCAGGAAGAAATGGAGGTGGATTGGACTGTGGCCATACTCTGAGGAAACCATCAAGTGAGTGACATCACTAGACAAGCCATCACTCGAGTGAAACCCGAAAGGGAAGCGGGCGGCGAGTTGGTCGTCAGTGTGAGGGTGACTTGGAGGAGGTCATGTGAGGAGGAGATGAAAGCATGTGGGCAGACTTGGAGCGGAGTGAAAAAGTTGGCAGAAAACAGAAGGCAATGGAGACGCGCAGCTGAAGCCCTGTGTTCGTCTAGGAAGTAAAGGATATAATAACAATAATCTATAAACATTGTAATTTCAGGTAGTCTGCAACTGATGTGAACCTGTGAAATAGAATGATGTCATTTTATACTGCAAATTTCGTCTTCCTTACTTTAATCGAAATTTATCAAGGGAACTAAATGTATGAAATTAGGAGACCGTTTGTTCGAATCCTCCTGTAACCTTGATTTTCCTTCTAACCCTCAATTATCCACTTATCACATTATTTATTAGACTATAGAGTATATCATTATTTTATCGAAAGGAAATGTGTATTCACAATTTCCAAATACTTTCCACTTATGATTGCCTCATGTATTCGGCATACTATTTCCCTACCTGTGTATCTAACGCTCATTTACTTTTTTATAATATCAAGGGTTGCTGCTGGTATTTCATCCCTTATTATCACTGTCACTCAGTTGATCGTTTTCTATAGTATAACACTAATCACACATAACGCACACACACACGCATACTCACCTTACTGCCCCAATGATGGTATATTTGTGTGCATGAATATATAATATCTAAATGAGTATTTGTAGCAATGAGTGAATTAGTTAGCGAGTGAGTGAGTGAGTGAGTGAGCGAGTGAATGAGCATATTATCCTCAGTCTAACAGTAAGTATGTCTATCCTACTAAATTGTAGTAGTCGCCATATGACAATTCATAGTTAAATAAATAAATAAACAAACTCAAAACACACGTGGAAATATTTCTGTCTGATAGATAATACCTCCTTTAATGTCTATTCTGTTGCATATGAATACTGTGTATAATATGTGTGTTTATATATTTATATATAGTATTATAAAGTTTTCAGTGTGTATCAAACGAATATGATGAAAAGGAATATAATTATATTCCCTAATCTTACCTATGCACGTATTAATTCATTCATTTGTATTAATATTATGATTATTAATGCTGTATGTCAATGAATATCCTACACCAACTGAAACTACTGACCATATGCGTTGTTGATTCTGTAAATTAATCATTTTTGCATGCAAACAAATATACACATTGATAAAAAAGTGGAAAATAATATATATATATATATATGAATGAGTTCAGCGCTTCGGTTAAGCGTCGTTGACAGCAGTATATAACATATATATATATATGTACACATATACATACATTCACCCAATATCCTGATGACGAAAATTCAAAAATGATTATGTCAGCCATTTTATTTCGAATTTATTATATATATATATTTAAACAACTCATTGAAATTTGAATGATCAAGGTTACTTCTAGCTTGATCAGCTTTAGATCTGTGTTTAATTTGAGGAATAGATATTTTCCCTTTTCAAAAATCAAATAAAGAATATTATTGTTATCATCATCATGAAGATGTTTGTAGAACCAGACCTATATTCAATAGGATATTTAAACAAGTAGTATAATATAATTACAATATGGAATATCCTCAAGTATAAATGTGATGATTACTCATAATAATAATAATAATAATTAACTTGTCAAAGTTGAATAGTTATGCACAACGTGTTAATAAGGCATTATTTATTGTATAATTTATGTTGTATATACTCATTGTTTCTCTTCACATGTATGTGTGAAAATGTAGAAATTCTTATTCCAACAGGAAAAGTATTTGACATTATGTTGCCAATAAATAAGTCAAATCATGTAAGTCATTAATTTTGTACTATTACTTTATATCACTATACATATATATTTTTTCATTCTTTCACGTTCCCAGTGGAACATAGGGTTTCAAGCTAGAGGCTTGAAGTCTCTTCAGCAGTGGTGATTATTTTTACAGGAGGGGGGATTGGTTGTTGGCCTCATGCTCAACTCTCCCTCTTTACCAGTCTTATTACTAGCTTACCTAGGTAAAGGAGTTCGTCCACCGGGGATCGAAACCCGTACCATGCGCATGGTCGGCAAGCGTCCTAATCGCTGTGCCACAGACGCACTTCTATAAATATATATGTATATGAATTAAAAAGTCAATCTGAACGAAGAATATTCTTTTCAATAATTTCTCTTCAGGTTCTTACAATTATTAAATATAATATTTGTGGTCGTTACAATAAAGATAGCCAGGTATGCGGCGGATACATTTTTTAACGTAGAATAACAGATTAGTTATGGGGTGTCAAAATAAATAGTCATATTTGTGTGACATACGTGCTAGGCTGAAATCGATTAGAAATATTGTAAAACGGGAGACAATAGTGGTGGTTAATCATAATGGAATTATAGAGTGTGGGGTAGGAAAATTGACAAATCAGTTCAAGGTTATAAAAGGTGTCAGCAGGGGGAAATTAAGTGCATAAAAAGCTCGATCCTGTCACACCTGGTCGATACTGGACATCGCATCGATGTCAACACAGCTTTCAGAGTTATATACCGAATTCCGAAGTCGTTATCACGTGCAGTTCGCTTACGTCTCCTACACATAGCTGAAGCTGTTGCAATAAGATCGACTAAACCGGAACTGTGTATCCAAAAGGAACACGTCCAGACGCTGTTCCTACCGTGGCCAACCTTGGATTGAAGATTTCTCTTCTCACCAAGAGTACTCCTTCCCCTTAAGCCTCTTGGTTTTTTTTAATTTGCTTATTATTATAAATATTAATATTCGTCATAATTTATGCCCTTTATGCAAACATCCCCTCAGTACTATCGAATTTTCATTTGTACGGACTTACTATTAGTGATATTATCTGTTTTCTCAATATAATGCCTCCACCTGTTTCATTTAATATATTCGTTATCTCACTATGAACCTCTCATTCCAGTCTTACTATATCCTGCTTAACTCAGACCACTTTGTACTAGCCACTCACCTGACACCTTCTATAACCTTGAACTGATTTGTCAATTTTCCTACCCCACACTCTATAATTCCATTATGATTAACCACCACCATTGTCTCCCGTTTTACAATATTTCTAATCGATTTCAGCCTAGCACGTTTGTCACACAAATATGACTATTTATTTTGACACCCCATAACTAATCTGTTATTCTACGTTAAAAAATGTATCCGCCGCATACCTGGCTATCTTTATTGTAACGACCACAAATATTATATTTAATAATTGTAAGAACCTGAAGAGAAATTATTGAAAAGAATATTCTTCGTTCAGATTGACTTTTTAATTCATAATATGGGAATATTTCACACTATCAAATATATGTATATAATATGCTTAATTAATTTGCCAAAAGAATTCAGTTGCATAACACTAGTGTGAAAAACTCCCAAATACTTCCTCCAAAAGGACTCAATTAAAGTTAAATCTTATTATCAAATGACACAGATTGAGGATCTACTGAAGACCAGGGAGCACTGGACAACTGTTTCTTTCTATTTTTTAGGACTCTTCTGCAGGGCACATCTATTGGATGATCAGAGAGCCGACTTCACCTTAATGTCTCGAGTTCTATGCCTGATTTAGTCATGGATGTGCATTGCTGAAGGGTCACAAAATTGAAGGAGGCAGTTAGCTGCCAAGTACCCTCTGGCTTTCAACTGATCACTATTTGATGTTAGTTGGCAATAAAATCTGTCTTGATATCAGTTAGATTTCTACAACCTCAAGCTTGCAGGATTTAATTTAATCTCACTCTGAACTTATTCTCGGATAGATGAATATCCAGAGGATATCCAGAAGTAGGATTCTTACCTACTTCATTCATGAAAAAAATGTCCATTTATAGAATAGAGAATGACTGTTTCGTTCACTACTGTCTGCTTTGGTTATTACTATTTTTTCCGTGTTTCATTTCCAGTGTCTTACTGAACTACTGAAGAAAAATTTATGCTGGATATGAGAAGAAAAATACCACTTTTCTTCAGCATGCAATTTTTTTTGTTTCTCTGAGCACTGTGATAACAGGAGTGTTTAAAAAGTTGAGAAATTCTTTTACACAGTTTACAAGTTACAATATATTTAAGTGTAAAACAACCTAAGTCACGTTCTTTAAAAATGTTTTATTTTTTTTCTGTCACTTGAGTTCACTTAAACATGTTTCTATATTTTTTTTAAAGAAAATAGTCTCCTAATTTTTCACAATCTACAGTTGTAAATATCATAAATAAAGAAATCAGTAAGTAAAAATGTTTTGATTGGACACTAGTAACTAGTGTGATGTGCAGACTGAATTTTATCAGTTAGGTTTACAATGTGGCCACTATGCTAGGTAGCTCGCCATCACGGTGCTCTCTGAATTGTTAATACTAGATGGCTGGAGGTAATCGGCAGGAAGCCTTGCTTCACGGAGGTTTCGTGCTAGTTGGCACTCACCAGTCAGCAAAGAGTGTCTGCAACCTCGAAGGAACTCACGTCTCTTCTGAGATTCGAACCCGCTTTACCTAGTGCTGCCTGTGGTCAGAGACGTTACCACTGAGCTATTCGGGCTCGTGATTGACTTCCTGTAGGACGGTTTTGGATACTTTGAGTGAAGACTAGTCAGTAACTAGTGTGATGTGTCTAGTCCTTACTTTGATGCAGACTGAATTCTATCAGTTAGGTTCATAAGTGTATTAAGATGAATGTTGAATCAGTTGCTTAGACTTATATTTGATTACTGAACTTTAACAGATGGCTAGTATTAAAATACACAGTTATATCTTGAAGTCAATTAGTTGATGGTAATTAGTAGTGGGATGTAGGAATGCACATGTCATCCTATTTGGGATTCGTCATCTGGGCGCGCCTGCATTCCCCAGTGACTGATGGTGTTCCCATAGAGGCTTGAACCTCGTGGCCACAAGAACCATCTCTTGTGCAATGGGTCTTATTACTTATTTGCTTCAGTTTAGTTTTTACCATCGATTGACCAGATATCATCGAATCATCTGCACAAGGGGCTGACAAGTCAACTGGAGACCGTACACTTCGGTTCAATCAAAACAAGATTATAGGCTAAACACTGACATTTATCGAAAATCCTCACATTCTAATAAGTACTTAAACTTTAAGCCATTTCAGCCAAAGTCAGTAAACGTGGATTTAGTTAAAGGCCTGTGTAATCGATGCATGGTTGCAAACTAGCGAGTCAGAAGATAAAAATAATTAAGGTAAATCCAGGAAACTGATACCTACTGGATGGATTTTCTGGAGCTGCATTTGGAATTCATCACCCGTGAGGTCCCCGATGCTATCGAAGGCATTAGTGTGGGTAGCGCTGTATCACAAGCTGACAAAGCTAAAATTCAGGGGTCAATGAATTCTAGATCAAGTAGCTGAGTCGTTAATGCGCTTGGTTCCGTAATCTGAAGGCCTCAGGTTCGATTCCCGGTGAGGTTGTGGGTGAGTACTGATGAAGAGTCCCAAGCCGGGAGGAGACAATCGTCCACTGCTCCCTGGTTTTTGATGATATCTCTAACTGATATTAGTTCGCGACGAAAATCTTTCAATTGTAATGAATAAAGAAAACATAAATAGTGAATAACTACCCACCAGAATTTATTCACTAATGCATGAAGACCCATAAGTAAAATAATTAATAAATTTTTTGAAGCACTGATAGTGCTGTCACACGAGAAACCCAACGTAAGATTGTTAGTAAGGCTAAAATTAAAGTAGCATTCAAACTAACCAACTCACTCAGGGATCAAAAATTTTATCATCTTAAGAACCCGATAGATCCAATTAGAAAAAAAATATTGTAATTTACTAAACACCACGTAATGACTGTGTGGTCAAATGAATGCATCAGATTAGTACATCAGGGTCAACTAGATAATCCAAACATAAGAATTTGACTAGATTTCGAATGACTAATCCCTGTTAAAGTAAATAACCTACAAAAGAGCATGGCCAATGCAATGCTTTCTTTCAGCAAGAAACGGGAGGACAAAATGATCACACCGAGAATCTCGATATGAATGTAATATACTTCTGGGATCACTCAGGTGGTATTCTACAATGTTGAATGGGAAGAGGAGAAGACGTTTGGCGAAGAGACCCTTTCCGGCGAATTCATTCACATAGGTGTACAATTGCATTTGTATATAATTATTTGTGTATGTACGTACATGGGGTCTGTCAAGTTTAGATAATTGATCAGGTAATACAAATATGATATAATATAGAAATAAGGTTAATTCGACGGCAACTGTTCCCGGTATTATTTCACTTGTTTCACTTGTCATTCTAGATCAATTCTTTTTTACAACGTTAAATTCTATGCTATTAAATTTCACACAATATTACGTAACTTTTTTTAATTTTATTCAATTTGTCTACTAATCCTATTAGATATATCACAAGTGGAAATTTTCCTGTTTGATAGATAATACTTCCAACTCTTATTTCGAAGTTGTGTGATTGTAATTGATATAATTATGAACAGTAAATTGTGTCTGGAAAGTCTTTTAGTAAATAATACTGTTTCACTGTGTGAAATAATAATGTGTTAATAAACAGATTAATATGGAATTACACACTACCACAGTTGCGAAGTATTCAGAAGTTGAATAACGTCATCAAAGTATTGAAGAAGGAATTCTGTTACTATAACTAAGGGACTTGCATATCCACCTACTTTAGAGTTCCTAATTCTGATTTCTTTTTGTATTTATAATGAGTACAATAATATGTAGAGATAAATAAAAAGGATATAAATAATTTTATGCTAACCTATTTTATTATGAAATGTATTATGTTTAC